GTGGGACACTGGGAGGGGATCAGTGGGTTCCTGGGCTGCTGGGGGGGCAGTGGGGTTATTGGGGTACTGGGAGGGGATCAGTGGGGATATTGGGGTACTAGGGGAGCAGTGGGAGGGGATCAGTGGGGTTATTGCCACCCTGTCCCCAGTCCCCTGCCCCAGTCCTGGCTCTGCCAGCTGGGGAAACTGAGGCCCAGTGCCCCGGGGGGGTCAGGGTGACTTAGGGAAGGCCATGCCATGAGTCAGCAGACACTGGGAATGGGACCCAGCACCCTGGCACTGGCACCTTCCACGTGGTGACGTGCTGGCACCTCCCTGAGACCCCCAGCCGCATCCTCCTTCGGCTCCTTCCACCTCCCTTGGAGGCTTTCTCAGGGAATTTCTGGCTGTGGCTGCAGGGGGGGTTATTTTTAGCTGCTATAAAAAGCAGTTGGAGTTGCTTTCGCTCTGTTCCTGCTTGGCGCCTTGGGATTATTCACGCTCTGTGGAGCAGCACCTGCCCCTGGGGTTGGCACTGGCTGCTCAGTGACCCTGTGGTGACCAGTGACCCCATTCCAGCCAGGAGAGTCCCAGCAGCAGGATGGTGTGTCCCCCCAGGCATCACAATCCCTGGAGGTGACACCTCTGGCAGTGCCTGAATGTGCTGAGTGTGTCTGAGCTGATCTAGAAGACAAGGGGGGGGGAGGAGAACCCTATGACCTCACTCTGGTGGGCACAGCCACTTGTCCCACACCATTTCTCACCTGTGCTTTCTCCAGCTGGTGGGTGAATTCCCAAGGAATCACTGCCCTGGGCTGTACCTGGTGATGGGACAGCAAGAGGAATATCCAGGGGGTTGGGGGATGGAGTTGCCTATGACTTCACTCTAGTGGGCACAGGCACTTGTTCCTTGACCATTTCTTGCCTGTGCCATCTCCAGCTGGTGGGTGAATTCCCAAGGAATCATTTCCCTGGGCTGTGCCTGGTGATGGGACACCAGGAGGGATGTCCAGGGGATGGGAGGATACCCCCATGACCTCTCTCTGGTGGGCACAGCCACTTGTCCCACACCATTTCTCACCTGTGCTTTCTCCAGCTGGTGGGTGAATTCCCAAGCAATCACTTCCCTGGGCTGTGCCTGGTGATGGGACACCAGGGTGGGTGGGAGAAGGAGACCCCCATGACCTCACTCTGGTTGGCACGGCCACTTGAGTGGCTACAAATGGTCACTGCTTCCGTTGACCATTTTGTGCCTGTGGGTGAATCCCCAAGGAATCTCTTTCTCCTCCCTCCCTGAGCTGTGCTCGTTGGTAGGACCCCAAGGAGGGGATGTAATCCTTCCCTCTCACCCCATCCTTTGTGTCACACAGATTGATGAGATGCCAGAAGCTGCAGTCAAATCCTCCTCCAACAAGTACCAAGTCTTCTTCTTCGGGACCCATGAAACGTGAGTGGGAGCTGCAGCCAAGGAGGGGCTGACAGGATCACCCCCCATGGGGCAGCTCTGGGGGCTTGGAGAGAGGTGAGAC